TGCTTGCTAACATGTAGATTACAATTTACAATATGGATGAAATCCTAATTCTAACAAAATTATATGTGATTCCTTTAATTTAAACATAAATCAAAATACTAAATGTATCGACTATCGAATAGTTACGAGTATAAATGGCCGAGCCGATCCGAGTTGAATTGTTTCTCAGTATTAACAAGTTAGTATTATATTAAATTACATAATAATTCTAATTTTCGAGTCGAGCCGAGCTGATAACTATATGAGTTTTAACAAGCTTTTGTTCAGCTTGTTTATTAAACGAATCAAGTTGAGTTTAAGCAACAACAAAATAGAGTCAAAGTCAAATTCACGAACGATTCGTTTCGTTTAACTGTGAAAGTACGCGGTAACTTGGAAAGTTCACATATAATGATAACTGTTTGGGCTCGCTGAAGCCCACAAAAGAAAACAAATTAGAGAATGCTAAATTGGGCCAGTCCAATTGCAGCGTCACTTCTAAAACTGTTTGAGCATGGCCTGCTCTTTTTGCTAGTTTTGTTGTATAGTTTGTAGGCTGGCTTAGCCTTTGGTTTTTGATTTTCTGCGTAGTTGGTGTTTTGGTCTAGTGGCTGCCTGTAGGCTTTTGTAGGATAACAGACTAGGTCCTCTGGGTTCAGTGGTCTGTGGCCCCTTTTGTTGCTCCCTTGAGCAAAAAATGAGAGTTTTGCTCTCGGTTTCAGTGCTTTGTCTCTGCCGACAGCAAGATTTCTCATTTTTGCTTTGATTTGGTTGTGTTGGATTAAGGTGTTTGCTCTGTTGCTTCTTTATTCTGTTTGCTGGTAGAACTCAGACTATTTAGTTTGCGGTTTGTACATTTGTTCGGTTCTATGAGTAAAGTATCTATCGTTTCGAAAAAAAAAGACTTTTGCAATTTAATCTCCATTTTTTTCTATTTGCATTTAAATCACAATCTTTCATATATTTTGCAGATCAAAGCATAAAGTGAACTTTTGTTAGACTCTTCGTCTGTGCCGAGTCAGCCACATAGACTAACCGTCCGTGCCAAGTCAGCTTTAATCTGACGGAACTTAAATATATGTTTTGATATGCAAATCATATGAAATGGAGTGATTTAAGCGCAAATAGCAAAAAATGGTGATTATATTGCAAAAGTCTTAAAATGGTGTCTTTAGATGCAATTTTCCCTAATTTTGAACATAAACTTTACAAACAATTTTATTAAATAAGTATTTAGTACTATTTATAAACATTTAGTTGACAATTCCCACTTATAAACATCAAGTCCAATTAATGACCATTGATTATTTATATACTACTTAATTTAATTTCTTTTCATTTCTTTCACATATTCCATTAGAGTTGACTTTTGGTTTTGTGGTTTTGCTTTGCATTGGAATTTGCTATTTAAATTAAAAAAAAAAATATATAGTTGACTAAGGTAATTAAAGCCTAATGCGCTTGTTATTATTATTTTTTTTTTTTTTCTTCGCTGATAGAAACTACTTAATGCGCTTGTTATTATTCAATCCAATTAATTGCACCTTTTATTCATGGCCAACACACTTTTATTAGCAGCATATATGACAATGTCAACGCATCTCAGCTTAATTTTATGATGGGATCTTTCTAGAGACGTCTTATCTTAACAATGTCAAAGGTTTTGTTGTTTAATTGTGATGGCATAAACGTGTTTCTAAAAATGTTAAATGGGCTAGTTCTGTCGGTCTTCGGGTTAAACAATATGGGCCTAAATAGCTCTGACTTAAACGGAATACTAAAATGTGGCCCTAACCCTTTTTTTTTGGGCTAAACGGATCGGCCCGTCAGACCAATGACCATTTAACATCTCTACATGTCACATGTTATATTAGAGTACTGTAGTGAAGTTACTAAAACCATGTAATAGTTTTATTTATTTGGGATTTTAAAAAATTTGCAGAGACTTTAAGAAATGCTAGTGTGTATAATTTAAACTTTTCAAAACTTCTAAAAATTTTGGTAATATTAATTGACATTTTAAAATATTTTAAAAACTCATTAAGCAATTAATTTATTGACACTGAACTAAGACTTTTTAGGATTTGTTGAGGATTTATAAACAAAAAATTTATATGAAATCTCACCTACAGACTTAAGATTTTAGAAGAATAATCTTAAATCTCATCAATTTTAAAAAGTCAAATCTAAAAAATTCTTAAAATGTCTATTAAAATCTCAAATGAATACACGTCTTAATTTCAAGAAGGCTGACTAAAAAACACACGAACGAACAAACGCATCATATTTTTCAAAGATAAGCAAGTTAAAGCATCAATAAAGAGATTATTAAAATTCTTATACCCTTTTTCCAACCTTATAATAGTGGAGCACTTTAATATTGGATCCAATGACTTTATATACTCGTTAAAAGTCATTGGTAAAGTTTACAATAAAATGAACCAATACCATGGATTAATTTTCAACCCCGTAAACTTTATTTTTTTAGACTATTTTAGTATTTTCAATGTTTATATATTGCAAAATATTTATGCTAGCACCAACTTTTAGTGGGTCAAAATTAAAAATTGTTAAGCAAAACGAACCGATTGTAAGTTCTATTAGTTATGATTCGAATTCGTTAAATGCTCGTCAGACTTCAAAGATCTCTATGAATTTATTATAAATTTGGCCCGTTCAAATTGTAGCTCATCAATTTAACGAGTTGAGTCGAGTTAACTAAAAACATTAAAAACGGAACTATGCCAATTTGTGCAGTCAAAGTCAAGGTTTCAACGCTAAGGTCAACTCTTTCATTTGGTATGGTCAACACACGTTTATTTATAATAAAATTTCAGTATTATATACATTTATGTAACTTTACATTGACAATTGCCATGAATATGTTGTTACGTGTGTGAGTCAGCAATTTTGGTCATCCATCTTGTTAAGTGGCCGTCCCGCTCCACCGGTTGACTCGTACGCAGCGGAGGCTCGTCTTTTTGCTCGTCTGACCGCAATGCAAGCCCTCTACTATCTCAGAATGCTGCTCGTGTGTTCTGGACTCCCGGTATGCTGTCCAAACTCTCTGGCTGGTTCCAGCCGCTTGTTTTCAGCTCCCGTTTCAGCCCGGTTTTACTCTTTCTCAACTGCAAATAACACACAACACAAAGAATTAACAGCAAGTAAACTAAGGAAGAAAAGGGAAAAATATATACTAAGTAAAATGCTGGAAAAAGGAAATGAAAGTGAAGGAACGAAGAACTCCCTTTCGACCGAAATCTGGCCGGATAATGACGACACAAAGTCTCCCGGCTCAGATTATCCTCTTTCCCGGCACCCTCGGTAAGTAGCGGCTCGGTGGTGGCCAACGGACGGCAGCCCCGGTTCCTCGGCCCAATCCCCGGGCTGCTCCTTCACCCTCAAGCCACGCACCTGGTCACCCCGTCACTTACGCTCACGTCTCAGAAAGAGACTCGCCTGGAAGCCTAACGGGCTCTTACCGGCGATTAGAGCTCGACGACGGTGCGACGGTACAGAGGCGGCAAGACGGCGACACTCAACTCTCACAGGCTTTAAAAGGTCACGAAGAACAGGTTAAGAGAGGCAGATCGATCGGGATTTTCACTCACAGAGAGAGAGCACAATTCTGTCGCACAGAGAGAGAGAAAACGGGCGCAGCTTGTAAGAGAGAGAGGTGAGATGAGTGTCATCTGATTTAGGGTTCGAGTGTGAGGTATTTAAGGCTAGGATGGAGGGCTGGGATTTAATCCCTAAATCCAAGGGTCCAAATTAATTCCTGCCAGGTAAGTGGGTAAAGGGCCAAGCCCAGTCGGGAATGGGCCGGGACTTCCTTGGGCCTGAGATAGGGATCTGGTATTGGGCCAAATTCCCAACACATCTATATATAGAAATAATATATAAATATGAAAGCAAGAAAAATTGATTCTTAAACTTTGTATTTTATATACATATATATATGTAATAATAGGGAAATGTTAAGGTCTTGTTATAAAATCATTTCGTCGGGGTTTGTAACTGTTAGATCATTATGTAACTATTAGATATAGTTGATCTAACGGTTACAAATCCCAACAAAATGATTCAATAACGAAACTGTAACATCTTCCGTAATAATAATTTGCAAATTAGTCGGCCTTTTTTTTGGCCATTCAAACATCAAATTCAATGAAGTGACCACGTGGCAATATATTAAGGGGCTACCATGTCTAAATTTAAATCGAAAAACAAAATAAAATAAGACATTGTTAACACGGTCAACTCCCGTCCCACGAAAAGCACCTCCAATTACCTGAGCTGCATTAAGCAGTAGTACCACACGCAGCGGCAATTGTACCAACAACTGGAGACTCTACGAATGTACCTGGCAGCATCATTTTCTACCCTACTGGGCCCCACCACACCTGCTTTTTTCAACATAAAGTATTCCATAAAATTGTCCTTTTCATCTGACCGAATCTTAGCCGTTGGATCAAAGTCAAAATCTTGACTGCGACCGGCTGACCCGGTGACCCGTTCCCCCTTCCCATATAAATCCCCTCCATCTCTGTAAAAAATACACGCACTTTTCGTTTCACAGCTTCGATTTTGCAGCCATGGCGGTTCAATTCCTCAGCTATCCCAATCTCACCGAGGCAGCGGCGGCCCGAGAACCCATACCCGCCGGATTAATATCACCGGAGCATTTGAACCGAGCGGTTTCAAACTTCAGAAAAGTGACTTCAGTGCTGAACAGGACCGGCCACGCCCGGTTCAGGCGCGCACCGGCTCAACCGCACCACAGCCAACCGCCTCCGCCGACGTTGGCTCCGATTCAACCCCAAACTCTGAATCTGTTCTCGATTTCACCAGAGGAGCGAGCTCCGGCGGCCGATCGGCCGTTGACAAATCAATTCACCGAAGTCAGCGGTCGTCTTGCGAAGAATCAAATGGATTTGCCGGCAGCAGCGGCGTCCACGTCGGGGAACTCATCGTCGACTCTCGCGTCGACGACTAGCGGCGAAGGCAGCGTGTCGGGCGGGAAAGGTGGATCCCCGCCCACGGCTCCAGCGCCGGCTTTCTCCTCCGGCAAGCCGCCGTTGTCTGGGAAGAGGTGTCGCGAGCACGGCCATACTGACAGCATCTCCGGAAAGACCTCCAACTCTTCGCGCTGCCAGTGCACTAAGAGGTAACATAATTTTTTGAGGAAAAAAAATTGATTGAAGCATAGAAAATTTTCAATTTAGGGCAAGCAACAATTGAAATTAAGTTTAGAAATTGCTTGGTTCCTCTTCAAAACTCAATAAATCCTAATCTATAAATTACTGTTCACAGGAACAATAAGGTGAGGAAAACGATTCGAGTGCCGGCTATCAGCTCAAAAGCGGCCGATATCCCGCCGGACGAGTACTCGTGGAGAAAGTACGGCCAGAAGCCGATCAAGGGCTCTCCATACCCACGGTAACCGCCGATTATTCAACCCTGTTAGTTACTAACAAATATCAACTCAATTCGATTAATTTTTCTGATTGGCCGGTTGTGTGATTTTCAGGGGCTACTACAAGTGCAGCGCGGCGAGGGGCTGTCCGGCGAGGAAGCACGTGGAGAGGGCCACCGACGACCCGGCGGTGCTGATCGTAACCTACGAGGCGGAGCACCGGCACATGGAGGGCGCGATGCAGGTGATCCCGGCCGCGAGGGAGCACAGCACACAGTAGCAGTTGAGGAATGAACTAGTTGACGTTTTGTGTGGGCGGTGTGTAAATTAGATGTTTTGAGGGGTCTCGATGGAATTTGGTATTTTAGGGGGATATAGTGGATTTTCTTGTAAATTGCGGTTAATATGTGAGGGTCTAACTTGGAAAAGACAATAATATCTGGTTATGATAATTTTTCACTAATATATGTTTTTATTTGTTTATTAATTAATGTATTTACGATTATTGTATTACTAGTGTGATTGAGAAATGTTGTTAGTGATTAATTTGTATTTTTATTATTGTTGAAATTCGACCAGAATTGTCCAATTAGGAGGTGCCACATGGAAGATCAAATGGGGATCGAAACCAATGGTGGATGGAATGGGGAGTAAATCAACTCCGAGTATCCCGGGACGAGATAATGAAGGTACCGACTTCACTTCGTTGACCCCCGACCGATGTCAATGAAAAACTGAGGTCCAACTGACAAAGATGCGATGCCCGTCAATCAAGCGCCGCCTCACACGTGTTCTAATTATTACTTGTGCGCCCACTTGAAAAGTAGCTGACTCTATATAGTCAGTTCACATTAAATGCCACCGAATCACCTCAAAACACGAGCCATGAATAACTATAAATGGCAACATTTATTCTGATACTAGAACTTTTTTCGGACACATTAAATTGTATCATTTATTAACTCGGTATTATAAAAACCGACTTCCTGTACTACCAAACCCGACATAAAAAAATTACAAAACTTATTCATTAGCAGCTTTCTTTGAGCTTACCTACATATTAATTGTTGTTAAGTTCTATCATATTTTTAAATAAAGTATGGATACTTATAAGACTATCTTTATCCATGACCTCTCGTGTTGGGTCATGGCATAAAGATAAAAAAACAAAAAAAAAAAAAAAAAAAAAAAATCAAAGGTTGGTGGCTTAGATCATTTTTTTTTTTTTTTTTACCTTGGGTCACAACCAGATTGTGAAAAGAAATAGGACACTTATCCCATTCTTATTGGTACTTTAGTATTAATATATATTATATAAAAATATTAAAATTTGTATTTTTTTCATTCTCGATAAGTACAAACCACATTCGATAAGTTTTGGAACACAATTGCAATTTTTAAATAAAATAAATATTAAGGTTGAGTTGGATTGTTGATAAAGATAAGATAGGTTTTAAGGTTGGGTTGTGTAGGTGAATGAAAGAAAAATAATTTTTTATTATTGTTGAGTTGTGTTGAGTTATGAATAAAGATAGTCTGAGTTGTAAAAGGCTACATTTATATTATCATAAAATGCGTGTGTTTTTAAAATACATAGCCAATTGGAGCTTTTGGAAAAGGTTGGAATATGGGTGAGTTCGTAATTCACATTTGGGTCATGTCGTATTATTTATGCTTTGATGGTGTGAGCAATGAACATGATAGCGATAAAACTAACTGATAAGTTAATTGATAGCTTATAAGTAAATTTCGAGCTTACAGCTGATAGCATATGACTTATGACTGAAAAACTAGCTGATATGATAACAATCATTGGTAAAATTTGCTGATAAGCAAACTGAAGTACAAATTTCAACGAACTTAATTGAAAAGTTACTCAAATAAGTTTGTGAGATATACTCAAAATATTTAAAGAAGCTCGTCATACCAAACAGAACTTATGTATACATAATGCTTAGAAGCTAAATAAATAAGATATTGATCATATGGGTAAACCGTACCAGGTCGATTGGATCGGAGAGGCAACCGACTGAACCGGACCAGCCGCTAGGTCTAACGAAGAATGAAAAGTCCATAGCTGGAAAGAGCTTCAGGTCGAATAGGGCATTAGTAATGTGAAGGATAACAATAGGTCGAGTGGGAGTGGGAGCCATTGAAAGGCCTAATGTGGTTTCGACCTGAAGGAACATGTGGTCAAAGGATCGACCAAGTAGGCGTTACAATGGAGCTCGACAATCCACGACACTCTACCTCGAGGTAATCGGTGTCAAGCACCTAATAAAGAGGATAATATGAAATCTTATTACAACTAATGATGCACGTGAATTAAGACACGTGGCATAATTCGATTGGTCTACCCCCATAAATATTTGGAGCAGTACGGGCAGTTGGGGGCAGCCAACTCATCATATCCGGGCAGTCTTCTAGAAGCAGGTAATCTACACCTATAAATAGGATTGGGATGTGTGATTATAGGGGTATATTCTTTATTATACACTCTTATACTACATTTCATCTTGTCCCTTCACCGTGAAAGTTCTGCAGGTTCGAGGACGTTCAACCGCCGATCGAACTTTGGATCCAGTCGTTTTCAGTCATTTCTTGTTGATCGGAGGACTTTACGATACCGTATAGAATTTATCCTATGGTGCTTACCAAAAACACTCATAGTGGTTGAAAATAATGGATTACATTTGTTCGTTTATAATTATAATTATATGTGTGTCTTGAAATATTTATTTTATCTCAATTGTCTAGCTTTAAATTTGTCTAACTCATTTAAGATACCCGATCAACGATATCAAGACAGAGTTTTTGCTACCCCACAAGCTCCGATTGTATTCATTCAACACACGACGATCTTCCAAACACCATGACCACCATATTGTATATACATAATAAAAAATTATATATGTATTTATAAATACAAATTA